CAGTTCTCACTAAAGCTATTAGGAGAGTAAATGATTAATGCTCTGGCAGACTATTCTGCTCTGCCACTAATATATTCTAAAGTGTTTTCTCCTACGTTTCTTTTGTGATCACAGAAATGTATCTTTTTCCTTTTAATCACAGATAAGTAACTGAAAAGTTCAGATGGCAAACACAACACACACAGCTTTAGTTTTGTACCTCTGCCTGGCGATAATCCTGCAGTCTGGCAAATTCATCTGCAAAGTTTTCCAGTCCAGCTTTTAAGTTTGGTGTCTCTGTGGCTGCATATGCACGCATTTCATTTACCAGAAGATCTGCTTTGTCTCGTAGTCTGGCAGTTTTACGTACATATCCAGCAAATATTTGGCACAATTCACCAAAATGTTTTTCCACATTTGAAACAGCATCTTGTATTTGTCTAGTATGATTGTCCCTTGATACAAAGAAAAAATATGTGACAAAAATAAGAAGTGGACAAATGGTTACAACACACAGAGAAGAAAAATTATATAATTACACTACTGATAATTTATATACGATTTGGACATCTCATTTCAGTACAAAACAAAAATCTATTCTTAAACAGATAATGTAACAGTCAGATGTCATACGTGCTCATTTATTAATTAATAACAAACAAAACAAAAAAGCAGCATTTATAGTTATAAAGATCCAACAGAGTAAAATCCAAATCACAGAAACCAGCTTGGAAGTTTTCCTCCTGTGGTTAAACAAAAGGTCATTGTTATTATTGGTCTTAATTACTAATATTGCAGTAAACAAAAAAGACTGGGTCATACAGCTCCCTGCAAGAGTCTGCAACCTAAACAGAGAAGTCAATGGTTGAAGAAATTGGGAAGTAGAGGGGAAATCTGTAAAGGTATTAAATGTTCTTTAAGTTGTGAACAAGTTTCAGACTGCTCCTGGGCAGTGCTACAAATGATAAATATCCCTGATGATTAGAGAAGTGACTGGGCATAAATACAGATGTGAAAACTTTAACAACACAGAAAAAACATTCATCGTACCAACAAATTATTTTATTTTGAATTATATTAATTTTTAAAAAAATCAAATGCCTCTATGTTTCATTATTAATTATATAAATAAGTTATTGTGAATATTTAATTCATATATTTCACTTGATCTTTTGCTTTCCTATTCCCACCTCATTTGATGGTCTTGCTTTAGTTACGCTTCAGTGATACTACTGAACCAAGTCAGTGCCAGTGAATTCATGACCGTTGTTGTGATCTGACTGAATCAACTACAGGACAATTTAGCTAAAAGTAACTGCCAGATACACGGTCCTAAGAAGTCTCCATGATCTACATACACAAGGTGACTCACATGAAGTGCTGCAGAACGGCAAAAGAACTCACTCATAGCACTGTCTTGGTGAGAGTAACCAAAACAGGAGGGTAAATGAAAACTTCCTTCATATCCTTAAGCTATCCCAGCTTCAAAGAATATTTAAATATTGACTTAATATCACAACACATGAAAATCAGAAAAACTGAAAGAAATTTAATACTTTAAGACTAAACAAAAATGCAGCCAATTCAAATGAAGAATGTCTTTCTTCAGGTACCCTTCAGGCCAAGTATTTCAGGCCAAAGTTCTGCCACAGGCAAACACTCGGTTGCACTGCTTTATGGCAAGCAGTCTAGAAAACGCTTCAAAAGAGATTTTGTTCAATGAAAAAAGAAATTTCCAACTTGTTCAGTCTTCCAAAACATTCTTGAGCATGGAACCATTTGAATAGGAAAGGTTTCACCCAGTAAACAGGAAAGTAAAAGTCTCATTAAGTATTAATAAAACTGGTTTTCAAAATTAATACGTGTTAAAACCTTCAGCACACAGTACACCTTGCCTATTTTGTCGGAAGTTCTTAGTGTCAGAAAATGTTCCTCTTCCAGGGGAAGCCTTAAGCACATCACCTCATCCACTTTACAATTTTAATTCCACAGTACTCCCAGTGCAAATAATATGTCATTTTGGTACTTAAACCAATAAGTTTCCTCCGATAGGGGTGTGAAAAGGGTTTTTTTTTCCCCCCTCCAAATTAATTGTGGCAGCTTAGAGGCACCCACAAAACTACCAGCGAGAGGCCCGATTAAATTGGCAAATCTCTACTTTACCTCTGCACATCACACTACACCTCGAAAAGTTTTGCGGCGTTTGGAAAACAAAGGCGGATCCCGCACCCCCAGGGCGGTCAGCTGCCGTGAGGGCGCCG